ATGAGTTAACATTGTTAGTGTCATGGCTATGACTGCATATTAACCAGCATCTATTATTTGTGTGGCTATGTTATTTAATATTATTAGTACACCTGCTGAGAGCATATGATTGCATATTTTATAAGCAATAATGGTCAACTGTGTAATCGTTTATTTATCATCAAAAATGGAAAATAATCTTTTAGAAATTTAATATCTCACAATTTTTCTTTCGATTAATTACGTAGCTTCCATCATGTCATCTAAGAGAAAGCTCTAACCACCATATAATTTTTATGATTTGGATTGATCGTTTATATACTCTTCTTCAAGAATTGTTGATTTGGTTAGGCCTATAAATTTTTCCTTATTAGTCCATTCTATAAAACATTGTCCAAAATGGTAACAGAGAGTTATAATAGTCTCATGACCTTTTGTCAATGTAGGTTGCTAAGAATTATTTTATATTATGTAGTTTTTAAAACCATTAACAAATGAGGCATATGTATGAATAATTAACATTTTTTATCACTTGTAATTCCTTATACGCAAAATTTTTTATATCAGCAATCGAAAATATTTTATACTGTAATAAAATAAATAGATTTTGCATTAAAAAATATTATTTTTTGAAATGTCTTTTATTGTTTTTAATATTTATAAGCTAGTTTATTTTGTATGCATAATATAATAAATGACAAAATATGAAATTCAGAATAATTGTTCAGAGTTAGCAAATTTTAAAAAAGTAAAATATAATAATCTAGAACCCGATTGAAGTCCAAGCAAAAGCGGGAAGGCTCGCAAATGGGGGGGGGGGAGTATGGAGGCGAAAGGCTAGCGACGCCCCTGATTATTGCTTATCTAAAATATGCAATCATAGCTGTATTAATAATCTTAAATTAGATAGCCACACTAATAATAGATGCTGGATAATTTTTAGTCATAGCCATGACACTCACGATGATAACTCATGTCAGAATTTACTATGTTAGATAAATTGATAAACAAAAACACTAAAAATCTTTAGAAGAAATTATGCAAATATATCAAAACCTTAAATTATTTATACGGCAAGGATGCCATATTAGAAATGAAACATTTTATAACTATAAAATAAGAACTACAGTGATTTGATGAAAGAAATTAAGATTTTAAAAATTATTGTCATAGTTGTAATAGTGGCATCACTAAGATGGGGGGGGGGGGCAGTGGCTCGAGCCCCCTGAAGCAATTTTTTTTTAATGGCTCCTTAATATCCCCTTGAACTAAAAATAAATTGTTTTGATTGCCCCCTAAATTATTTCTTTTAGAATTCTATTATGTAATATATAGATTACTATATAACCCTAGATAAATAAATATAATTATTTATTAATTTAAAATCAACAAATTTAATATTGTAATTAGCAGAGTTCAAAATCACTAATCAACTATATTATTCATTTTTAAATTTAATTACCATGACTCTTCGTAAAAATATTTTCAAGGTCTAAATAAGTATAAATGATTTCTTTATTAAAAAGTAGACATATAACTTATAATCCCTTATTATATATAATTGATCATAAAATATTAGATAAAATGCCACATTTACAGACGTATTTGACAGTTATATAATATATTACGGTTAATATTTTAATAAATTTTATTAATAAATGCTTTTGATAATAAATATAAGTTATAATTTGCATTCAATATTTTAACGCCATCTATCTAAAAATATTATTAAAAATTAAACATATTATTCATCCAACTATGGATCTAATAAATTAGATATCTTTTCTTATCTTTTTTTAAAGTGTTTTTAGGAAAGCTATTTTTTTCTTATATGAAAAACATTTTCTGAGTTAAATTTTTAATACGAGTATATTTTAGATATTATTACAAACTACTATTATTTTAAGATATAATATACGAACTAGAGAGGGTGCGACAATAATATATAAAATTTTAATTGCTTTCATGATATCACTCTGGTTCTTATTTTATAGTTACAAAATGTTTCATTTCTAACATGCCATCCTTGCCGTGTAAATAACTAAAGGCTTCAATATATTTTCATATTTCTTCTAAAGATTCCTACTGTTTTTGTTTCATCAATTCTAACATAATAAATTCTAATATGGGTTACCACCGTGAGTGTCATAGCTATGACTGTAAATTAACCAGCATCTATTATTTGTGTTGCTATGTAATTTAAGATTATTACTACAGCTGCTGAGAGCATATGATTGCATATTTTGGATATGCAAAAATGTCTCAACTGTGTGGTCTTTATATATCATTAAAAATGGAAGATACTCTTTTAGAAATTTAATATCTCACAATAATTTTCTCGATTACTTATCTAGCTTCCTTCATATCAAATAATAGGAGGCTCTAACCACCATATAGTTTTATGATTTGGATTGGTCGTTATAATCATTTTTTCAAGAATTATTGATTTGGTTAGGCCTATAATATATTGTCTAAAATGGTAACAGAGAGTTATATTAGTTTCATGACCTCTTGCCAATATAAATTGCTAAGAATTGTATTATATTATGTGGTTTTTAAAAACCATTATTAATTGAGGCTTATGTATGAATTAATTAACCTTTTTTATCACTTGTAATTCTTCAGACGCAAAATTTTTTTATATCAACTATCGAAAATATTTTATACTGTAATAAATAGATTTTGTATTAAAAAAATATTATTTTTAGATATGTCTTGTATTGTTTTAATTATTTATAAGTTAGTTCATAGGTGTAGCCAGAGGAGGGGGGCAAAGAGAAATCCCCTCCTCTTCAGAAATTAATTACTTTTTGTAAATATCATTTTTAGCTAATAAAAAATATCCCCCTTAGTCCTCCCCCCACTTCCTGACCCTCAAAATTGTATGCATATATCTTAAACAATAATTTGAAAGAAAGAATGTAAAAGTTGATATTTTATTATAAAAATGTTCATCATAATTTATACATTTTTGGGAAAATAAATTTATAAATATATAAAATAAACCAAAAATGTTTTTTAATAAATGGAATATAAGCTAAAGATAAGTCTTAAGACAAGAGTGAAATGTAATATAATTATTAATAATAGATCCATAAAATTACTAAATAATATGATATATCAAATATAATTTTTTATAAAGTGAGTAATTTTAATTTATTTATCTTAATAAAAGTAAAATATAATTATAAAACTATTGATAAAATTAAATCATAAATTAAATAAAAATATTAAATAACAATACAAACAGTTGAATATTATATGTCGTAGATTTACAGTATATCTAATTTTATCAATTATCATATGACAATCAAGTAATTTTTACCAATATAGCGAATTATATATTTTACAGAAAACTATAAAATATTGATAAATCAGAAAATATTATCTTTTAAACACATTGTGGGATGAATAACATGAAGATTAAATTTTAATATCATTTTTACTTAAAATAAATAGATTGCGTTAAATAATTGAGTGCAAATTGTTGCTATATTTATTATCAAGAGTATTGATTAGTAAAAATTTTTAAATTATTAACTGTAATATATTCTCTAACTGTCAAATATGTCTGTAAAAGTGGAATTTTACCTAGTATTTTATAACTAATTCTATATAATAGAGGAATAGCACCTATATGTCTACTAACTTTTTATAAATAAATTTCTTATAATTGTTTCGAATAAATTATTACCATGCTTTTATATTAATGTATATACAAGTAATTTATTATATTTTATATAAACTAATAAAAATATATTTCATATTTGTTCCAGGCTTATTTTTTTAATTAAAATTTGTAAAAATATTTTATGACTATATATAGACTAAGGTAACCCGTCCGAAGGCGGGGCAAAAGTGGGCCGAAGGCCCGCCCAAAAGGGTGTCTGGGGGCAAAACCTCCAGTAATTTTTAATCCCCCCCCCCTTAGGAAAATCCTGGCCACGCCTATGAGTTGGTTTAATTTGTATGTAAAATATAATAAATGACAAAATATAAAATTCCGAATAATTGTTTAGAGTTAGCAAATTTTAAAAAAGTATAATATATTAATATAAAACACGTCCGCAAATTAGAGGTATGAGGGGCTAACTCCCTATAAAAATTTTATAGTTGAGCCCCCTGAGATTGTAAACTGTAAAGGCGCGACGCCCCTGCTTTTAGGACACCTTCCATTTCATTAAATATCAAAATTTTCGACACTTACATATTTGGATATCCATTTGCGATGAATTTTAAATAATTTACACTAGGTGATCTAAATAATACAAATTGAAAATATAAATTACAAATTGATTGGAGGAGGTTTTAAACAAATATGCTGGTTTTGCTTTTATTTATTTTGTATTTTACATTATATTATTTATGATCAATATTGTCTATTTTTTATGATTTTTTCTAATTCCTGATCACTTAATGTGTGTATATTACATGGTCTGATACTTATAGTTATTTTGTATATATATTCTAATTATTTTAAAAGAAAAATTGTATAATTAATAAAAATAATATTTCAAAATTAAATAATAAATTATAAATATTATAATTAATTATGATATTATAATTAAATTTTTATGTTTATATTAAACATTCATTATATTATAAAAAGTTGGCTAAGTAGCGTGCTACTTGCTTCTAAGTTCTTAGCTACTTTCAAAAAAAGTAGCGCACTAAATAAATAATTTTAAACAGTAACGGCTATTAGTTATAGCTTGGCTCGTTTTGAGCCGATTTTTTAAAACGGCTAACTCAATATTTTAGCCAGAAAAATATTGTCTAAGCCTCGAGATTTCATTAATATATGGTCAGACCTTTGTTCCTTCTATGAGCAAAATCTTCAGGCTTGCGTAGTATTCCTCTGGATAAAATATTGAGTTAGCCGTTTTTAAAAATCAGATTAAAACGAGCCGTTTAACAACACTAGCTATAGCTATCAAAAAAGATAGCGGGTTATTTTAACAACTCTAGGTTATATATAAAATATTGCATATAGACGTGCATTATCATCACCATAATTTATGCTAATTCCTTCTAATGCTAGACATGTGCCCAAATATCAGCTTATTAAAAATATATCTGACTATGTTGGCCCACCACAGTCAATTACTAACTTAAGGCAGATGAAATTTATAATTCCTAATAACGAAAGTAGCTTAGAACGCGAATTTCGTTTGAAAAAAATTAAATTATATAGATGGAATCAAAGATATTGGTATATTCACAATACTACCTTTACAATAGTAAATATTATACTTATATTTTTATAAGATTTTATATATAGAAAAGAGATCATTATCTTCAAACACTTAAAAATGACAACAATATAAAAAAAATGTCAAGTTTTTATAAATGGTTTTTAGATGAAAATCATTATCAACACAAAAAATATAATAAGTATGCATTAAATTTATGAGTATTTTATTTTTATATGCAGAGAATGGTATATCAAACATATTAAACTTTTATATCCTGCAACAAAAGTTTTATTATATAAATTATTTACCAAGCCATTTATAAAATTGTAATTCATGTATATATTATTCTCTTTAATAAAATTTTATGAAAATAAACTATCTAAAGAATAATATTATTTTTAGGTAATCTTTTACTTTGTAGAGTTGAACTTATATTTAATAGATATTTTAAAAAAAGGTTTGGCTAAACCAAAATATATATGGTCTTATTCAATTGGTAGACTATACCACACAATATAAGGTGGTGAATTAGTTCTTAGAATATACCACTATCTAAGGCAATAAGTAGCTGGTAAATTATACCACACCATATAAATTTGATGATAATTATAAATCTCATCATTATGAATTTTATGTTCTATCTTTTATTTTTAACACTGAAGTGTTTTAAATAAGATAATATTTGATTAAATTATTTGAGCTATAACATTTAATGTATTTTCAATGCACAATTTTCATTCTTAGGAAGTATGAATTTTGTGTAAAAATGAATTAGAAAACTGTAAGGAATATTTTTTTTATGTAATCTTTAGCTAAATGTTTACTTTTAAATACTCACAATTTATTTATGACAATAGTTAATTGTGTTGAACATGTAATTCAACATAATTTTTAATCTTAGAAAATATAAGGATACAGGGTTTGTCAATATTATTGAAAGAAACTCACATTACAAATAATGAATGCCATTGGTCCAGTCTTATTAGTTTTAGACTGGGACCTGACTGATCTTTTTTTTAAGGATCACAATCTGGATTACCATTTTTTGTATATTTATTTTATATTACATTTCTAAAGGAGTTACTTTATTTAATGATGCAAAATCACCCTAATGGTTAACTTAAGATTTTAGCTAGAAAAACATTGCCTAAGCCTCCAAACCCTTGTGCCTATAGCAAAATCTCCAGGCTTGCATAATATTTTTTTGAATAAAATACTAAGTTAGCCGTTTTTAAAAATCGCCTCGAATAGAGTGATTTGGCATTACAAACTCTATTTAGGTGATTCATTTTTACTTTGCAATTTACTATGAAAACAAAAAGTTCATAAAAAAATAATTTTATATATAGTCCCAATAAAAAAACAAATAATATGTGTTCACTGCAATACCAAATTTAATGCATTACCAATCAGCAACACTCTTTCATGATTAAAGTTCCTTAAAAAACCTCAATCTCATATTAATTTTAATATGCCATCTACCGAGCACAAAGTCACTTTCCCAATACCATTAGTTCAATATCAAACTGAACATGAATTGACTAATATTATAATAGTTTGTAATTAAATATCTGCCAATGAAGACCTATGAAAGTTTAAGTTGTCATTATTTAGTTATTAGACATTTTAACTCAAATGTCACAATCTGGTCAAAAAAATTTTTAAACAAAAGAGTTAATTATAGGAACTTTTAAATAAAAATGATTTGTAATATTTAATAAACTTTATTACAGATATGTGGAGTAGTTTAAATAATTTATAAATAAATTGTAAAATAATATTATGCATAATAATCTAACATAAATAAACAATACAATACAGGCAAACAAGTAGCAAATTAAGAAATTAAAAGGTGAATAACTAAAACATGATACACAAAAATAAAATAATTGTAAAAAGAGATGTAAAATATTATTAAATTTAATTTCATTCTATGAATATTTTATCAAATTATAAACAATTTTATTTATAATTTTTTTCTTATAAAAAATATCTTATAAATTAAATTTTAGAATGGACGATTTAATTTTTGATATTAACATAATAAAAAATCATCAAAATATTGCCATCTTAAAATTGAGATGGCCAGAAAGCATAAAGGTAATTTATTATAACATCTTAAACATATCAATGTAATAATTTATTCATATGAATTAAATATGGAATGGAAATTTAAAAAAAATATACTAAAATATTTCCAAATCTCAAAACGACAAAAACGTAAAAATTGTTCTTCCGGATCCCTGATAATAAATCAGGTAGATGGAACGGAACTTTGAGTCAATTTATGGAATGGAGCCGGACCGTATATTCACGTTCCTAAAAATATATATAAATTTCTTATTTATTTCTATAATTAAATATAAAATTTTTTAATCCTAATAATAAATAATCATTAATCATATTAAACTATATAATATTAACAAAGTAATAACAATTAGCAAAAAATAGATAACATTTTAAAGAGAGGAAACATTTTTATCAAAAATAAAAATTTATTTAACTGTTTTTTTTTCTATAAAATTAATTTTTTATTAAATAAAATTTTAAATGACAATTTTATTTTTGATAATAAAAAATCATCCATAGCCAGCAGAGTTGTTAAATACTTTTTAAATAGATCTAGATATAGATACATCGTCTAAAAAATTATCTAAATACAGATACAATTTTTATTATACACTTATATAAGGTTTGCATAAGCCTAAATTTGGATTCTATTGTGAAAATTCATGAAATGTGCTAAAAAATTTATTGACTCGATATCATATTTATCAAAATATAACAAAAATAATGATTTTTAGATTTTAATATAATATATTAAAATATATGATTAAATGATTATAAATAATTATTAGATTTCATTAATAAAATATTTTCAAAATTTTGGTAATTAAGGCATCCTCGTTCATCTGTAAAGACATTTTTAGCTACACTAAAAAGTCTTTCTACCGGGGTGATTGAAGGGATTGTGGTGTTATATCTTATGAATAGCAATTTTATATCAGAATATTCTTTGAAAACTAAAATCTCGACATTCATTTTTCAAAAATTATTTAAAATTTGTTGAGTATAAAAATTTAAATGATTTTTAACAATCATATTTGCTGCTGTGGGGTACTGAAAAAAATCGGATATTAAATTATTTGTTTGAAATCAATTGAAGACCTTGATAATTCATCAACTAATCTTTGTATTAATTGTTTTTTTCATTAACAGTGTTTGATGTTTTCTCTTAAATTTAAAAACACAATGTAAACATTTATTTAATATCTATACCCTTAAATTGCAAGTTGAAGTAATGCTAACTGAAATTTTCGTATTTTTTGGTAGATATGATGAATATTTTACAATCAGAAATTTATTTTCTTTATTTTGAGATATTTTTTTAAAAAATGCTCTATAAATTGGCCATGGAAAAACAATGTCTGAACTTGTTGATGCTTCATTGATTATTACTTCTTCCTCTTCATCACAATTAATATTAATCTAAAATAAATTTTTAAGATTAGTCTAATAAAATAAAATTAATCAATTCCATTGAAAATAAAAATGGCAGATTCCTTGAGATGCATTGTAATATCAAAATTTTTCTGGTTTATTGATAAACTCGGACATAATATTTAATGAATATTTATATATTTTTTTTAATATAAGTTTTAATATTTATATATATAGTTTTTTATTATAGTAGTCTTAATATTTTTTTAACTCATGAAATAAAATAAATTTTGCATTCAAATATTTTTATTTATTATTTAAAAAAGCGTTAAATAAAAGTGAATCAAAATGTGTCTTAAAAGTATCTAAACAGATACAGATACTTCTAAAATAATATCTTGATACAGATACTTTAAACAAAAATCTAACCAGATACATATACCATATTTTTATATCTAGATACTATCACAATTCAGCCAGATTGAACGTTTTTCGACACTCAAATTTATATTAACACCAAAAGAACCTATATAAATGATAATCTTTAAGGAAATATATTATTGTTTCGATGTAATAATTGGTTCATTTAATGATTAAATAAAGATTAATTAAATTGTGTAGATTAAAAAATATATTTAGATATCTGGAACGGATCAATTATTTTGACGGAAACGCAAAAGCGCCCCTGTTCAAGGTCTCCAAAATAAATCATTAAAAAAATTTATGGCTCAATAAACTAATACTAAATATATATGAATCTTTTTTATTGTTGTTTTAATGATTAACGTGGTGGCTAAGCAAGGATTTATATATATTCCTTTACATGAATAAAATATCCTTCACAATCTTGAAATGATGTCCGAAGATTTAAAGGGAGGAAAAAAGTATGCAATAATTTTATCAAGTATTTGAGGAATCTATTGAATTCCCCTTCTTTATTTGTTTCTTCTTTTCTCGTGAGACTTTCAGTTTGATAGACATTTTTTTTCAATTAGATTAAAAAATGACGAATAAGGGAGTAAAAATTAAGGGTCATAGTATAAAAATCCCAATATGATTGAATAAATAAAACAGTTGAATGATATAATGGAACATTATCCATAACTAGGCGCTTATGCAGGAATTCATTATGGGGAGGGGATACAAATTTTTAGAATTATTCTAGGAGTTATTTAAGAATAAACTAAGTTTAAGAAATTTATTAGGACTAGTGACTATAAAATATTGACAAATTTAAATGTAAATATAAATTATGTTAGATTTATATAATATCTTGTGCAATTGATATAAAAATATAAATATATTTAGGAAAAATAAATGAAATATAGATTAGGGCGCAAAAATATTTTTAAGTGTTATTATATGTATACAAAACTTATAAAGTATTCATGATGAAAATGTAGGGATTAAAAAATTAAAAAAATTTAATTAAAAAGTATATAATGTTTAAAAATAATCTTATTTGGGATTGAACAGATTTTTATATGATTCCATCAATGCTTGGTGTTAACCAAATACCTATATATATAAAGAAGGGCTAACCCATTCATTCTGTTTTCAGAGGTAGTACTTCTCAGTAGTTTTATTAAGGGGCCAATTTTTAA